TTTTTTTTTTTTTTTGTCTAGGCTCATATCAGATGGCTTTTGGTCAGAGATGGTCGACACAGTGCATATCCTGCTGCAAAAGACTGTTTAAAGATGGCTCCTTTGTCCCCAGCAAAATGTCTCTGAATTCAAGGACTTCATGGCACCTTCACTTCCAGGCATCTCTGCTTTGTACCATGCCATGCAGAGGAAATGCCAGCAAGATGTACAAAACTGTGTTTTCAGACTTATTAATTCAGCAAACAAGTCCTAATGTGCACTCCTAACAGAGTATAAATCCTGAAAAGGCAACAAAAAAAAAAGAGGGACAAAATGAAATCTATTTCCTTTTAAAGAAGGAACAGACCTCCATGGCTTAGCACAATACTGTCTTAATTTTTCTCCACATCTCACTGGAAGGGGGATAGATGCCCCACAGGCAGGGCCTCTAACACTTCATAACAGGAGCAGTGCAAGCACCACAGGTTGAAACATCCTCAGAAAAGAGTGAGCACTCTGTATTTGGTTAATCATAGTAAACATGCATACTAGAACAAAAGAAAAAAAATTAGCTGGATTAGCAGAAGGCAGGCAGTGGGGATAATGCCAAGAGTTCTACACATACATTGCTACCAGAAAAATAGCTTCCTTCTACAAATTCTATTTTCCTGTTCCATAAAGCATTGGGAACATTTTACAGAAGCAGCTTTGTCTTGAAGCAGACAAAGAAGGGAATACACTGCCCTGACACGAGTAGATTGAGGATGTCTCATACAGGATGTGTCACCTAAGGAAAACATGCAGGTACCATACAAAAGGACTGCAATTCATACATTAACTTGCTATGCAGCAGCAGGGACATCAGCAATGCTGGCACTGCACTGAGGGCTACAAAAAAGCAGTGTCTTAATAGGGGATGGTGCTAATGAGCCTTCTTCCATCACCTGGACAGCCCATATTGCTCAACACCCTACCATGTCCTACCTGCTGAACTCAGCTCTCAGAGATACATCCTGAACTGCCTATTCAAACAGGACCAGAGTGGCTACAGGGTAGCCTTGTTCACAGGATCACTAAGGCTGCAAGAAGCCTCTGGATGTCTCCAGCAAAAGCTGCCTGCTCACAGAATGTTCAGCAACAGGGTCACATTCACTTGTCTCCCTAGCCATCAAATGGAAAGAAGGATAAACTCTCATTTATTTCCTAAGAAATAGTTACTGAAGAGTGGAAATAATAAATACAGGGGACAGGAGGCATTAAGGGCAAGTTCATTTAAGCACAGATATTGTTCAAATACTAGAGATGAGACATTAAGGCTCAGTCCTTCAGATGGCTCCATCTAAATCAAAGGAACCTCATCACTTGAGACAGAGAATCCCAGGGTATGTGGGTGGGTGTGTACATTATATGCTTGCACAACTGGATTCTCTCTCCAAAACGTACTGCTGGCATCAATAGTCATCCCAGTTAATCATCTTCCAAAATAAAGTCATTAATTCTCTTTTTAAGAGCAGGCAACAAGTTGCAGTGAGCTGCCTAGCCACTGCTTTCAGAGTCCAAGTCTGAATGAGCTTGGCCTACAAGCCTGTAACAAATAAACTGCTTCTAAATAGAGGGATATTCCTCAAAAGAGATTTTTAGCTTAGATAACTAAGACAAACGTCCCATTTACATGTTAATTAAACTACACAATTCCCACATGTGTTAAAATTACAAAAACGTGTACTTTACAGTGCACACAGCAATAAATCTTAGAATTATAGAATCATGGAAATATGCTGAGTTGGAAGGGATTCACAGTCCAAGTTCTGTCCATGCAGAGGACATCCCCAAGTGTCCCATCATGTGCCAAAGAGCATTGTCCAAACACTTCTTCCTAAGCTCTGTCAGGCTTGGTGCTGTGACCACTTCCCTGGGGAGCTGTTCCAGTGTCCAAAAAACCCACTGAGTGAAGAACTTTTTTCTAACTTCCAACCTAAACCTCCCCTGACACACAACTTCAGGCCATTTCCTCAGGTCCTGTCACTGTCACCACAGAGCAGAGATCAGTGCCTGCCCCTCCTTTGCCCCTCACAGGAAGCTGTAACTGCAGTGAGGTCTCCCGAGGTCTCCTCTTCTCCAGGCTGAACAGACCAAGTGCCCGCAGCCACTCCTCAACATGCTTCCCTTCAAAGCCCTTCACCATCTTCATTTGGATGCTCTCCAATAGTTTAACATCTTCCTTACATTGCAGTGCCCAAAGCTGCCCCCAGCACTGCAGATGAGGCTGCCCCAGCTCAGACCAGAGCAGGACAATCCCCTCCCTTTCCTGGCTGGCCATGCTGTCCCTGATGTCCCCAGGACAGGGTTGGTCCTCCTGGCTCCAGGGCTCTGCTGGCTCATGTTCATCTTGCCATGAACCAGAGCCCCAGAGCCCTTTCTGTGGCACTGCTCTCCAGCCTCTCATTCCCCAGTCTGTCTGTACATCCAGGGTTGTCCCATCCCAGGTGCAGAATCCAGCATTTCCCTTTGTTAAACTTCATGCAGTTGGTGATTGCCCAGCCCTCTGATTTGTCAAGGCCTCCCTGCAGGACCTCTCTGCCTTGGAGAGAGTCAACAGCTATTCCCAGTTTTGTATTGTGTGCAAACTTGCTCAGTATTTCTTCCAGTCCTATGTCGAAATCATTTATGAAGATGTTGAAGAGCACAGGGCCATGATGCCATTGGATTTCCTGGCCACCTGGGCATACTCTGGCTTCTCCAACCTCTGTCAGCCAGCACCCTCAGGTCATTCATTAGATCTCACATAACTTTTCTTTGTCTGTGTGATGGATATATTAAACAAGAAAGGTGGCATTATACAAAATAATCCCACTCTTACTATGTTTGGATCTTTGTCCTAAATAATTCTATGGTATGATCACAGACTAATGCTTGTCATCCCTGGGACACCAAAGGCAAGGAAGATATTTCCAGTAGTATACCACTGAGTTGCACATAGCCTGAACTTGGTGACAATGAAGGCACTGGAGATGTCCCACAACACCTCTGCATCATACCAGAAGAGTTCTCTTTTATTTCAAGAATCACACGAAGTGCTTTGATCTTAAATAATCTGTTTTTCCTAGAAAACAGCAAAATTCTCTCTCTCAGTTCCTAGGAAAAGACAATATTTTGCTTCCTTTTGTAAAATTTGATGCATCTTTTTCCATTCTACATTGGAAGGGTAGAATTCCATCTACCATTTCAGGCACACCAAGTATGAAGTTCACATTCCTTGAATTCAGTCACCATTAAATGTGGAAAGAGATTTGATCAGACAAATCAGTAATTTCTCCATATAAATTAACAAAGATGAACATACAAAGATGAGCACAAAGGTCTTGCATCACAGACGTTTTGCCCACTTATCAAAAGACTGCAGCTCCAGCAGGCTGATCCCTCCTACAGGAAGGAATAATGGAAATCAGCCATCAACTTCATCTAAGTAACATGTCTGAAAAAAAATACATTAAATGCTTACGGTCCTAATGCATTTCCAAAATATCCTTATTACTCCCCCAACTATTGGAAGCACAATAAATTCCTAGCAGTTTCCAGCAGTTTCCATTTCTACTTTTTAGAACTTAGGTAGAGGGAAAAAAAAAAGTATTTAAAAAAAAATCGCAGAACCTCCTATTCCACATACTAACTTCAAAGTACACATTTACATAAATGATTCAGAAATATTTAGGCACTAAAAATCCATAAGTAAAAGAGAAATACAAAATACTTTAAAAAATTGATTTCTTATTTCCTCTCTTCTGTCTATAGGAAAATCTGGGGTTCCTGTCAGGTTTCATCTTAGGAGGGATGTGGATGACTATTTAAACTGAAATGTTTCTCTGGCAGATGCAGACATTCCATCATTATATTGTCCCACTGAATGGGCAGTATTGCACATGAGATGTACCATATCTTCATCATGAACGTGCTGTAATGGCTAACAAGAAAAATTGTAGATGATTTATTTAAGCAGAACCAGCTTATATATTAAGGGTATGACATGTTCTGATGAATCAACTAATTTTTCCTTCTCTTTCATTTCCTCTAGAACTTCAAAGCAATCAAATGTTGTTTATGCATAAAATTTAATCCTTTCGCCAATCTATAGTTTGATTGAATTTGCATACTCTATTTCCTACAAGTCAGTGTGAAGAGAGCCTCATGTAATTGAAACCATTTCCCCTCCAGTCCTCCTATCTTTGTTGCAGTATTTTCTATTAGTAGCTCTATTATGTCTAATATCTGTAATGTTGGCAGATTAGAATTTTCACTTAATGCAACCTGTATTTATAAACCACTAGGATGAAAAAAGAACAAATACAAGAAAGAGGAAATAATAATTACCTGTCTTTGATGCCACACAGATCAATGTGTAAATCACTAAAATTCCCCAGGGAGCCTTGCTGAACTAAAATGAGGTCCTTGGGCTGGTTATCAATAAAGATGAGCCTCATACAGCCTTGAAAAGCAGTAATGGGATTTAAACACTGGGAATCAGTGAAATTGTCAGGGCACCCTGTGGAAAAAAGAGAAGAGGCAGAGAAGAATATTGGAATGTTCAACTATTTCTGCTGGGATTTCCTGATGCAAGAACTCAGAGGCTTATTATTCCAAATGTTTTTATTCCTTCTGCAATGCAACCTCCAGTGTTATAAATCCTTCAGTTAGGGCAAGGAAAAAAAAAGAAAAATAAGCCAGCCATTCAAAATATCACATTATGAGGTTTTCACCTTGTGAAACATACTTGTGTTGAGCAAAATCAAAATGTGTTTTTTTCATCATCTTCAAAGTCCACAGTTGATAGCAACTAAAACATGAGTTGTTAAAAGAGTTGTACAAAATATAAAATCATTTTGAGTTAAATTCTGCTACTGAAGTAATGTGCAGACGAAATCTTGTGGGCAGCAAGAAAGCCTTTTTTTATCTGAGCTTCCCCAGTATTTAGACACCTCTGAGATCCAAAGCCTCCTGTACATCCTCACTTAGTGCTGTATCCACAGGGTTCATCAAGATCAGAACCATACTACAGTAAGCACTACACAGAAATATATTAGATTAAATATATGACAGTTAATGACAGTACCTGTCTAAATTAATGTTGCACTCCACTCCAAAAAGCAGATGATAGTATTTTTCAAGACGTTTTTTCCACTTTCTAAATTGAGCTAAACGTACCTTCATTTTCCACAAGAGCATTGTACATAAATACCTTTGAAGATTTGAGCCGTATGTCACCTAAGCTCCAAAAAGTCACTGAGCCTGGACAGAGCAGTGCTATCTACAGGAATGCTGATAACATTAATAATTCTAAGGCCTTTTAACCAGGAAAAAAAAAACAAAAACCAAAAACCAAAAACAAAACAAAACAAAACAAAACAAAAAAAAACCAAAAAAAAACCCAAGAAACTACTCATGGTTAATACAGCTTGCAGATTTTGCATATATTGTCAGATTGATGTAGGTACCCATCAGATATCACTAACAATAGTCCACTTTTACAGCTCTGCTTGTAGTCTCTCTGCCAGGCTTGACCAACACCTTTCAACCTGCCCACAGAGCTGAATGTACTGCAATTCAATCAGTCACAGAATCACAGAATCACTAGGTTGGAAGAGACCTCCAAGATCATCAAGTCCAACCCACATCCTAACACATCAATGAGACCACGGCACCAAGTGCCACATCCAGTCTTTTTTTAAATACATTCGGGGATGGTGACTCCACCATCTCCCCAGGCAAAGCATTTCCAATACTCTATTATTCTTTCCATGAAAAATTTCTTCCTAATACCCAACCTGTATCTCCCCTGGCGCAGCTTGAGACTGTGTCCTCTGGTTCTGTCAGCTGCTGTCTGGTCCTTACTGCTGCAAGCAGTACACCTAGGGAGAACTCAGTGGTGAGCATCTGAGGATCTGCATCACGAAAACCTCCCTGAAACAACCTACCTCCAAAATAGTAGCTGTTCCCAGAGTAGATCCTTGAGACAGTGGTTGCATGGCTGGCAGTGGCAGCATCGTTGTCCAGTGTCAGGGTAATGCGATGCCTCCTGGCATTGATGTTAACAGAATGCCAAAGCCCATCATGGAGATTGGTGCCTGGCAAAAAGAATGTACAAAGTCAAAAAGAGACATGCAGGAGACAAGTGTATTCTTCAAATCTCCTTTTGCTTTCAACTTGTGACCACAATTATGCAGTTGGGCTATCCAAAGTGAGAAATGTAGGGGAAAAGAACTCATTACCTCTGGAAAACAAGCTGGCATAGAAGAAAGGGCCCAGGAAAAGGGAAGTTTTGAGAGTATTTAAGAAGGTCATCTCACATTTTAATCTAACCTGGTACTACTGCAGGCATTCACCAAGCTAGCCCAATCCTTCACCTTTCTATTATGATTTTGAGGGTGTTTATGTTTATCTTCAGCTTGTTGGTAAATGCTTACAAGTCCAGAAGTGTGCAGAGATTTCTACTGAGCTTCTGGTACTAAATACAAGCGTGAAGTTGCAGAGGATTTGATTTAATGAGACATTCATAGCCTGTTCTCAGGCTCCAATTTGAAACCTGACTGACTCCAGTAGGTATCAGTAGGAAGGATTTGTGTTTCTTAAAATCCTCCAGCACCAATGCAGCACACAGCACTATTAATAGATGTGCAGAAGTTGGATTTCTACATGGATGTTCTGAGAACTAGGATTGTTGCTCTGACCAGGAACTTCTAAAGGCTGAGGAATATACTGGGCAGTCTCTTTCTCTTCTAGACACTCCTGCAAAGCGGTAAATAACCTGTCTTGTTTCCTTATTCTGAAAATCAGTGCTGCATCCTGTGGCTCTTGAAATACCACCACAGAGCTACAAACTCCACATCCTCTATTTTGCCAGCCATGAGAGTCAAGGGGTAAGCTTCTGAACCCACACACAGAGGTGTAGATCAAAAGTAACCTAATTACAGTTCAAAATATGCTACCATCAGGCTGAAGTCACTGAGATCAGCCATAGACAACTAGTATTATCCTCCACCCTAACAGGGTATTTTTGTTAATGTTGCTTTCAGAGAAAGCAAACAAGCAGGAACATAAAGAGGTGTGAGAACAGTTCAAAACAAAATTTAAAAAAAACAGTGGGTGTTAGGTGTGTGTAAAGCCATTTCACCATGAATTTCAAAATGAGACTACTTACTCAGTAATGGCTGTTAACACATTCACAATTACCACAGAATTAGAGGCTGGTTTTCCAGAAAAAAATGGATGATTTTTCAACTAGAACAAGTGCATTTTGAAGTGGAATATGTTAAGGTTTGAAACTATTACAAGAGGAAATAGATCCCATTTGGGGGAAAAATCGGTCCATTTTTGAGCAGGCATGGGTTTATTATGAGTACCTGACATCTGCAGAACATGGTACATGCACCTTCTGCATATTTTCCATTTACAAGCAGGCAGTTTAGCATGTTTTCGATAGGCTGGACCCGGGTTCATAATTTCAGAACTACATAAAAACAAACACACCCAACCAAATATTGACATTGTCTCAGCTTTGTCAACAGTTTAATTAGGACTGCAATAAAGGCTGGAATCTCAGTTTTCAGTGTTCAATTGCAGCAAGCTATAGCTGTAGCAATCTACATGAGTAAGGATAAATGCAGGGCTGCCTCATTTTCTATCATAAAGGAGAATGAAACACGCATACAGAACAGCTCTGCTTTGACAACTCTGTCAGTTTTTTATCTCTTCTTCTTTTAATAGATACATCTGCCCTCTTTTAGTCTGTACAGGGAATATTAAAATATTACATGTTTTTAAACACCTGCCCTTTTAGAAAATATATTATTGTTGTTGTTATCATCATCATCAGTATATTATTATTACCTCAAATTATAAATCAGAGAGTCAGCCCTATTTTACCCGCTTGCATCCCACCAGCTTCACTACACAAAGTAACTTCTAAAGTGAGTAAGAAAGCCTAATAGGGAGTGTGAAGAGAGGAAGCCCATGGTCAGCCACTCTTCTGAGTGCAGCATAAAGGAGGAGTCCAAAGCTACAGGCAGAGAAAGAAAATCAGCTCTGAGCCTCCCTTAACTTCTGCTGGGGAAAGAGGCTGTGGCTGACCCGGCTCCCAGCTGATTTCAGCACAGTCTGAAGATGGGAACAGGAAGGTCTTCACGTGACCTGACTAAAGAAAATTGAGTGTGACTGCTTAAGAACAGAGAGGCTCAGGTAACTGTCAGTGAGATTGAGTTTGGAGATTTCAGGATGCTAGTTTTCCAAGCTTAGATCAAGCTGTGCAGAGTGGCTTTACCACGGGAAAGAAAGAGAAAATTTAAAAGAGAAAGGAAGATCGGGTGTTTCCTTATTGCTTGATCCTTTCATCCCATAGAGCTGAACCTTTGTGTTTTAGAAGGAGACAAGTGAAAGTAAACAAAAAAATAAATACCACCTTCAGTGATTTCCACTGGGTTCTCAGTCTCCTTTTGAATAAGTAGCATCAATCTCCCATCATGGAGATAAACCAAGAGATGTCCTGAGCTTTCAGACAGCTCGGTGAACAGAAGTAAGCCATCTTTATTCCACGTTCGGAACTGGAAGCTGACTGACAAGCCATCAATTTGAGCAGTGCCGGGGAGCAGCAAATAGCTTCGACTGGAGCTCACAAAGGTGATAGGAACAATTTGTGGTTCTGAGCAAGAAAAGGTCACATTCCCCTGCAAAAAAAATTAAAAATCAAACATAATCAGCATGATATTTTTTTCAGTCATCCCAAAACTTCTTTAGTTAAATAAGCTCATTGGACTTCTAATCACCCTCAAGGCTGAAATAGGAATTATTATTCAGACATACCTTTGGAAATCAATAGGAAATGCATCTCTCCATTCTGGGAAAGTATATCTAACTTCAAAATTTTACTTTTAGCCCAAATGTTGAGGATCAAAAATCAAAACCTTACTTCTTAGAAGGATCTAAATGTAACCAAATGTCCTTATCAATGCCACACATTAGTTAATTATCTCAGTCACCCAGCCCTGAAATCAATGGTGCAATTTGACTAGAAGAGAAGCATATTTACTCAAAGCAGTCTGCTGAATCTACCCCAGCTTGTATCACTGTAGTTGGTGGAAGAAATGACTCCATCAGTTTGCTCAGCCACTGTAGATTACCTCACCAGGTCAATCAGGCCATGGTATAAAACCTTAACAGCATATAAAGCTAGGATGCACTTAAGGAGCCACGTCTTTCAAAGCCACTCCAGGAGATTGTTGCAGCCAGCTGCTTTGAACTTGGCTGCTTTGTAAAATACCAACTGTAATCTGATAAAACCATCGGAGTGTAAGGCTTTCTCCATGATAACACTTCTCATCAGAGCCCGTGCCTCACTCTAACAGGATAATTATAACGAACAGCACTTGATGGATGTGCGGGAAGTTGCACAGTGCTTGGGGAATTCCTCTCTGTTATCTCAGACAGGTGATGGAACTGCTTCCTATCACTTTCAAATGTCTTTCCAGTCTTTATTTTTTAAATGGAAAATAAGATGCCAGAAATAGACAAAGCTATCATTGGATGAAACAATGTTTGATAGATATTATCTATATGGAGCTATTGGCATAGTACCTGTTCAGTTCAGAACACGACCTACCAGATTTGGCAAAAGGAACCCATGGGTGTATCATATTAGAATGTGTTTTGAGATATAAACCAAAGCTTATCTGAAACTCCACTGAACATTAGTCAGGTGGGAAGTGGGATGGAAATTTGGTCTCAGCCTTTAAAAGTTTCTACTACCTGCTGGGATTTGCCACATGAAGAGATGGCACAAACTTTTTTTTTGTTATTGTTACATTTCTACCTCAGTTTTTAATCAAATTCAGGTCAGAAGTCCTGTCCTGAGATATGACCAGCAGAGAGTGCTGACTACACGGCCAATGCTGGGACACATGAACAGGATGTGCACATCTCTCTTCTTGCTTAACCTGGTCAGACTTCAAGCTCTGCAGTCTGATTTCAACTTTAGCCTCTCCATTGTCTAAACTGAAGCAGAGCAGGTCTCATTCCACCTGCCGTAAGAACAGGCAGCTGGAAATGCACAAAGGTAGTGCTGCATTATTCTGTGTAAATGGGATTAAAAGTGCATTTGGAAGACAGACAAGAGGTGTGTCTGCCTTTTGGGGAGTTCTTTTCATGAGGTATTTTTGTTATTCAAAAATTGAGATCTCCATGACATAAGGGCCATAAGTCATTGAAGTCAAAGCTAAAAACTAGCCAAAAAATTGCAAAAAATAAAAGGAAAAAAATAAAGTTGAGTAAAACAATTGGTGCCACAAGAACTTACATCAATTCAACGGACTAATTTAGGAGGGAAACACCTTAAAGCAGCATTCCAGAGCAAAGCCAGATGATGTAGTTAATGAACACCAACATTAGTTGCTGACATCCTTACACTGACCAACCTGTCTACCTTCCTAGAGACAGTAACATGAAAACCTGAAAGAAGACATACACAACTGTTACTTTGAAAAACGTTTGTCCACTGAAGTGGACAAATTCCCTGTACAAAAATTGTTAAATTTGCCATGAGTGTTATTCTTGAACAAATTACTCCAGCAGGTCTCAGTCAGAAAAGTAAACAGCTCCCTCTAAACCTTCATCTGATCATGAGCATTTTGCTTTAATTGGCAGCAGTTCTGGAACTCTCCAGGGTATATGCCAGATTTCTGGCAGACACTTGATTTTATAATTGAACCCAATTTAACTGAAAAGTAAAAGCTCATTGGCTAGGAAATGGGATAAGAACAGGCTAATCCCTAGAGAAAATAAAGGAGGCGCTCAGCTCTACCCAGCTGCTGAAAACTCTAGCTATGATGTGCCATTTGAGAATTCCATTGAGTCCATCTCCAGACTGATTAACGACTCCTCTAACAAGCAGTGAAATCTTTAGAAAATAGTTCTTATTGTTCTGACAAGAGAAAACTTCTGAACCTAAAAATGCAATGGAGATACTTGCGAATTTTCACTGACTGCCATGACAGTTGTCTTAAGAAAAGAGTGGAAGCAGCCCAGATTTCTGCAGGCAGGGTAAAGCTTTCGAGGTAGTTCTTGTTCAAGTGAGATGTTGAATGAACAGGCAGCAGCATGTTACAGCATTTTAAAGAAGAACTAGAGCCTCTCCTATTAAAAGAGAATGGAAGAACACAGTTGCTAAGAGATGAGAATAAAAGTGGATTACATAGAAGATCCTCTGAGCCATAAACCTCATCCAAAACTGACTGGAGACTTTCCAGTGACTTCTGTGGGACTTCAATAAAACCTGTATAACTTGAATGAACTATTTCAGTCTTTTCTGGCCTTTCTTCATGTAGTATTATGTGCTGTTCAAGGAGGAGAGAAGACAACACCAGAGTCAGAGCAATTGGTAACAAGTTCCTCATACATCCTCCTTGCTCTCAGAGAATACTAATCAAAAATAATATGCACTTGGGAAATTATTCAAACTGACAGCTGCACTGCAATTCTCAGCACTTAGCCTACCAGAGGATCCAGGCCAAGATCACAGCTTGAAAAGGAAGAACAGTAAATGAGTATTTCTGAGCTCTCATTCTACCTGCAGGTTAGAGCATCAAATGGGCACTTAAACTTTCCTCATTAATCACTCTATGGATACTGTCCAATAAAAAGGGTATCTTGCTTTCTGCAGAGGATTAGAAAGGATGATTTCATATGGCAGGTAAAGGGACTAAGATCCCAGGCCTGGCTGAGCTATAAATGTGGTAAACTGGCAAGAATATCTCCAGCTTTGAAACTGGAGGACTAGTTCTAGCTGTGAAGGGACTGAGTTCAGAGACAAATTTACAAGGAGAGCAACAGAAGGAAAAGGTGACCTCTGATGCAGTTTTAAAAGGATAAGATGAAAAATTGGCATTCAACTCTGAGAAACTAGATTTTGAGAATGAGGGAGGTTCCTTCAAGCCCTGTTTTGAAATTAACTCTCTCCAGCAGAACAAATGTCAGGAGACTCAGATATTTCAAATATTTCTCAAGACCATGCTGAACACTAAACGAAAAGCAGATCAAAGTGAGACACGAGCTCCAGCCTTCTGAAATACTGCTGCAAACTGTCTTCAAACAGGACACGGGAGCACCAAGGCAAACGGTGTTCCTTCTGTTAGGATGGGTCCACTGAGTGAGCAACCAGTCCATCCCAAGAGCAGGGGACCAGAAATTCCTGTATTGAGACGGATTTCTGTTTCTCTGAGAAAAATTTCAAAATGGAAATCTGAAAGCTTTCCTGATCCAAGTTACATTGAAACTAATAAGGCCCCGTGATAATCAATCTCGTGACAGAGGACTGCCCTATCTCCACTTACTGCAGGTATCATGGATTCCACTAAAATATTAATTGTTTATCATATTGATTTAAAGTTTTTTTTAACATTAAAATAATATTCCCAATGGAGAGAAAGTAACATTTAACAAAAACAGAAAAGGCTTAGAAGAACCTGAAACATTGTGACCATGAGAAAATCAGGGATTAGATGCTTGTCTGGACCTTTCCAGATGTTCTTTATCTCAGACTCCTAAGCTGACTGTGTCACTGGCCAGAAGCATAACAAAGGATTTCACCATTTTTATGCCCATAGTAACTGTACATTATTGTTTCATTACAGGGTGCAATAGTTCAGAGATGCTGACAAAAGATGAGAGAAAATACCAAAATATTTTGCAAACATTCTACATCATTTTTCTCAGAGACAGGAAAAGGGAGAAAAAAGACCACAGGAGGAAACAGACACATACACAGAAAATAGTGACCACTTAATATTTTCTCTCTGTGTTGTATTGACTTTTGTCTGGATGCCAGGTGCCCACCAAGCCCCTCTATCACTCCCCTCCCCATGAAGTGGGGGGAGAAAATGAAGGAAGAAAACCATCTTGTGGCAAGAGACAGTTTAATAAAGCAAAATCAAAGACTGCATGCAGAAGCAAAGGAAAACAATAGACTTAATCTTTACTTTCCATGAGCAGGTGATGCATGAAGCAGGGTTTCAGCATGTGTGGAAGTTGCTCCACAAGGATAAATGCCTCTTCCCTTCCTTTTTCTCTTGGCTTTTATTGCTGAGCAGACTCATTTGGTGTGGAATATCCCTTTGATCAATTTGGATCAGCTGTTCTGGCTATGTCTCCTCCCAAGATCTCACCCATACCCAATCTCCTGGCGAGGTGGAATATTCACTTTAAGCAACAAGAAGGAATGAAGCCAGCCTTTCAAATTCACCTTGCTAGAAGTGAATAAGATAGATGACTTAAATCAAACTGGCAAATTATTACAGTCCAAGTCCAATTTTTGCTCCACTTCAAGGTAAAGTGATCTACAGCTTATTAGTTTTTATTGCCTGGAACAAAACACAGCAGCAAGGAGATTTTTTTCTTCATTATTATTATGAAAACAGAACCACATCTACCTTAAAATAGAAAAGTGTATAGAAAGCAATTCCTATCAGCTTTTTTCTTTTTTATGTATTAGTTTCCTTTAATAGATATTGTTCTTTTAAATTCTAATTATCTGTGTATCATAGCACAACACCAGCCTAAATGGTTGGTGTGAACTGCACACAATCCAAGCTCTGACTGTGATGGGCTCAGCTTGCCCCCTTCTGCTATGCCAAGTACCAAGGAGTTCCTAAGACCTCACCAATTGGAGTAATACCTT